TCTCTTTTCTTTTCTTTCGTTCTTTTATCACTGTATATGACTATATACATAGTTATTCTTTTTATATCGTCATGTTGTTATTATATGTATGAGAAAGTTATGCAGATAGGCCAGTTATTCTCACCACCACACACATAAACATTGTGTCAGAGAAGCAGCCATATTTGTTGAATAAAATATCTTTTTATTCTTTATTAGATAAAAAACTCTACATTTCGATCCCTTCTCAGAGCCATTTTCAAGAGAAATATACAATTAAACTTTAAATTTGCAACGAAACACAACTACATTAGTGTATATATATATAAATGTAAATTTTGACTGAGAGAAAATTCGTGAAAGAAATAGAAAAAGAAGAAAAAGTAAGAATGTAATAAAAAAAATTTTTTAACTCTAGTGCTGGCATCGTACTCGTCCTTCCTCATTCCTCCTAAATAATACTTTCTCCTCCTTTTACCCCCTTTTGCTCATTTTCTCCTCCTTTTTGGACAAAGTTGGATAGTTTTTGAATAGGGCTTGATCAAAGAATCTTCTTAAGGTCTTAGTTATCATACGTCGCGTCTTATATTTGCCATGAACATAGTACCGTCTATTCTTGTAGTGATAGTTACAATGTGACCTTGATCCTTATTGCACTATAAGCACTTTTGTGGTCAATAGAAATTTCTTATCAGTGCATGGCGAGCGATCAGTAGTTCTCTATTTGGTATGTGCATTTTCCCCCTTTTCAGATTTCCGTTATCTATCTCCCTAGCATCATCTGTCGTGTCATCAATAATTCTTCTAACTTGTATTTTCCTTTTCTCTCTCTCTCTGTTCAATGAACTCTGTTCATTGAGTATGCACGATGAACATGCACATTTCAAATTCAGAAGATTCTATTCATTCTCTGTAGCACGTGTCTGATATTTTTTTCTTCCTCTCAGTTTTGTAAAACAAAAGTTTTCAAAGATATGAGAATAGAAATCACTCAGGAGAAGAAGACCATATAAAAAAACTCCGTTTTTAAAAATTTTTTAACAGGATTGTTTTTGGCAATATTTGTTTTTAGAAAAAGTTATAGAAGTCTACCGAAAAGCGAGTTTTAGGAATAAGTTTTACGGAAAATCAAGGTCTCGCTTGACTCTCGGATATATAATCATGGTCACGTGTAGTTCGCTTAATTGTCAGTGAGGAAACGCGTTACTTTACCCACAAATAAATGACTTTGTTGTTAAGCAAACGGTATACAAACTTTGCTGTTGGGAATACTACCTAATTCGCCTTGGACTAGAATATCTCACTTACCAGATCTGCATTGTTTAAAGTTGAGAAGTTCATCTTTTGCATTCTAGAGAGAATCGTCTCAAAAAAATAATCATGTAACTTTCTCCTGCACAAGATAAGTGCTTAACAATAACCACAAAAACAACGGAAAACTGGCACATCCGCAGGTATCACCATGGAACTATTGCCACCTTCAGAATGTGTCAATGAAACCTATTGCTACCTACTAAGAGTGTCAAATAGAGCTATTGCCACCTCCACACATAGTACTATGTTAGATAGTGTCAGTACGTGATACGACTGTTCCACGAATTTTTCATAATATAAATTCGTAATGGCTATTGATACCCCATCGAACTGGCAGCAAGAGCTATGGACAGTTCAAAATACACTTATACACTACATAAATGTTTTATTCAAAGTGTTATGCTGAATCAGTTCTGAAGCTGACGGTCTATACGAGGCGGTTTCGAGTGGATGGGAGTGGCTGTGCATGAGAGAGAGCCGCTAGAATACTTCCAGGGTGCCTGAAGGTTATGGTCTATATTCAATAACACATTTGTGCAGTGCATAAGTGCATTTTGGTCCTTGCTGCCCGTTCGACGAGGTGTCTATAGTTTCGTGCTGCCAGTCTTGGAGCTGTAAATAGTTCGTTGCTGCCGCCCCGGGGGTGTCAATAGACCTACCCATATAAATTTGGGGATTTGTGGTAATTTGTGGTGGATATTGGGAGAGGGAGGGTGAGAGCAGTGTGAGAGGGAGTTCAAAAAGTTGTGTCACAAAATGTTTTGCATTACATAGTGTGAATTTGTTTTAGCTTTCCAAGTACTTATGTATTATATAGTTTTCTAGATGAAGCTTTGGTTGACACCGATAGAATGTGGCAATAGCTCTTTACTGACACCTGAAGGTGACAAGAGCCGTCAGTGCCACATGTTTTTCCACGGGTTTTAGACAACTTTAAATTTTCATCAAAAATCTCGGCGGAATACTGCGAGAAAAATATGACAACCAATAATCACAGTAAACAACAGAAGTGAAAGAAAACAACCTTACCCTGTGGAATGTGCCTAGAATTCAGAACTTGAACAGAAGCTGTTCAATTTTTTTCCTGGGTAGAGTTTACCGAGTTACATAGGAAAACTGAGCTTATATTTTTAAAAGTTATCTATGCGTAAGAAATTCGAGCAAGACTCGTTTTTCGAAACTTACACAAAATACGTGAAATTTTGAAAACTAGCAAAACTTTCATATTGAATGATTTTTCAAGGTTTTAAAATTATTTTCTGATTCTCCCTACAAACGGTGCACAAAACGCTAATTTTTACCGTCTTAGCAGTTAAACTCACTGATAAAACTTTTCAAGACAAGGAGAACGATTTGACGAACTGCAAAAATCAACTTCGCTATTCTTTCCCATATTCTGCACAATGATTGAAGTTGTGCAATGACTCGATGTTATCCTTCAATGTATATTTTTTGTCGTGATTTTTGTGTTTTATTTTTGGTTTAAGCTTTATTCTTGAACCAGAACGAAATCAAGAATATAAATTTCCATTAAAGGGCATTATATTGTCTTTGAACGAAGTAGACAGTGGCTTTTCTCAGACATGTACATTATACAAAAAGAATTTATAAGTTCATACCAATGACTCACCTGCTTGCGTTATTAAGTAACTCATCAAATAGTCGGCAAAAACTGCCTGTAGTTTTTTTTTCATTTTTGTTAAAATGTATATTTAAAAATATATTTTCATATAGAAAGAGAAGGAAAGGCTGTCTGTTCTATGGATAGCAAAATGATATCATGTAAGTATTTTAACTGAGAAGCGACCATCTGGTAAAAGAAAGCCTTATCCAAGTTGCAACTTCAGCTTTTGAGGAAAAAGTCCTGGACTACTGTAGAAAAAAATTCGTTGTAAAAATAATTTTCAACATCGTGTAGGACGAAAGTTGGAACTAAAAAACTTGTCCTGCAAACTTGAAAAAAGTATTGTTTCTGTATTGAGCTACATCTAATTATCTTCCAATTTATAAGTAAACATTTTTATATTACACAAATATCATAAATGTTTATATAACGAGAAAAAAAGTAAGATTGCTGTACTCATTCCAATGAGCTCATTGGAATGAGTATAACATTGTTATCTTATTAACTGCATAAGTCACTTTCAAGACAGCAAAGAAAAAGGTTGATCAACACTTGCAGTGTATTCAAATATTTTCATAACATCGGTCTTCTTTATATCATAAATCATTTCTTTGATTAAAATAAAACATTACTCTGATATGTGAACTCATCAATAATAGAAAAGAAAAACAATGAATCAACAAATTCTCAGCCTTCTCGCGTATATTAATGAGCAATCAAATAAAATATTTTCTTTATGTTCTGCACATGTCGATGTACCTCGGAGATCGTTCATAAATATGTTCACACAGTGTGTATAGTACTCAGAAGATTATCAATTTGAAACGATTTTTATACCATTACAAACTATCGTATATAAATTTTCCAAACCCGAATAAAATATGTATCAAAATTTATAGACGCACCATTCTTCAAAAAAGAGTTAAACTGAACTAAATTAGAAGCTATTTATTTCACAGTAAGTTAGTAAAATTCACAAAAGGATGTGTTTGAACGCATATAGTTTAAAGTGGCTAGCATCTTGTCTAAATCTCCAGTGTATCTTTTGAGAAATGTCAGAATATCAGTACGCGGTGTATTCTCAAAAAGAGACTATTTCCTGCGCTTGCTGAGCTTGGTGTATTTTCAGTGACAATACATAATATAGTGTCGCGGTCGGGGTGGGGGGGGGGCCGGGGGAGATGCAGCATGAGAGTGAGTCACTATGCAACATATGTGTATTCTTGTGCATTTTCACTGAGAATACACCAAGCCCAGCAAATTTGAAAATAATAGTCTGTTTTTGAGAATACACTGCGTACTGATATTCTGATCCTTCTATCTTTTTAGTAAGAGTTATAATAATTCAATTTAATATATTTTCAAAAAACATTGCGTGTACAGAAAAACAGAGAGAAATATGCAACAGCTCATAAGTTTTATGATGACCTGCAAAAGAATTGTCAAAGCATAGTGTAGAAGCCAATAAGAGAATAACGAACAATTGCAGCTACTATAAGTTCTTCTTCACGGTATCGCAGGTCTTAAAGTCGCAAATCTTATAATGAGATTACATCTCTTTCAGTGCTTTCTATCTTGATAAACGAAAAATCAACGAAAAGGTTGAGCACTAAACAAAATAGTCATCAGCCTTGCCGGAACCGCTAGGTAATAGTAGATCTAAGCATTCTGAAGAGATTTGTCAAAGGTCATTACGAAGAATTTTGACTTTGAGAAGCGAAAATAAATTAAATACTCATGAGCAATTTATCTCAGCTAAAATGGCTAGCGCATTCGCTTTACCAACATACCAACATAACTCTAAATCATTTTGTCTTTTACAAAATCGTATAAATCTATTTCAAACGCTGGAGAATTTTGAAACAATATCTCGAATAGTTTTTCAATGATGATGATACAACGAAGTATTTTTGGTATTGAGTCTTGAAATGTTGAAATCAGGATCACATTTATTTCGAAATAGTGTTTCTTCAGCAAAAGGAAAGCGAATCCATGGGATGAATGCTACTTTCGTATACGTTGAGTTAGAGAAGACAAGTGGTTAGTTGATTCAGCCGCAATATAGACAGGTGGACAAGCGAAATTAAAGAAAATAATTCGGCGTCCTTCGTATTACGTGGGGCTTACCACGTTGAGGGCCTGAGTCGAATTGAAGGAAGGCATATTTCAATGAATCATCAAGTTCCATGATTGCTGCTTGATTTCCACAACGATAACAATAGTTCGGTGCAGAGAAGATGGAGACAACATTCTTGTCATGAAACCAACAGTAACCTAAACGAATCCTCAATGATACAGATCGCTCAAAAACGTTCTAAAACTTACCTTCCATGACTAATTGATGAGCTCGAGAGATTAATTGTAGACCGTTGGTATAATTGAAAGTTTCCGATATGTCTTGACCGAAAGTATAGCTTCCACGTCGCTGTGAGATACCCCAACCTCCGCGATCGTCTGGATTTGACCTAGAGGATAATCAAGGAAGTCGTCGACCGTATATCAGAGCTATAACTGACCAGAGTAGATCACACATAGGACCTGCGCATGGTACTTCTTGTACCCTATCTAACGCTCGAATCTGATCCAAAGTGTCGATGGATGGACTAAGACCACCATGCAAGCAAAAGATTCGGTCTTCGACAATGGCTGTCAGAGGAAGATAATCGAAGAGATCAGTAAAATATCTCCATACATTGGCATCGCCATATTTTCTCAGACATTCATCATAGAATCCATAGACTTGGGTTATTTGTCGCGATTCATGGTTACCACGAAGAATCGTGATACGATCTTTGTGTCGCACTTTCAATGCAACAAGTAATGTGATTGTTTCAACGGAATGATAGCCCCGATCGACGTAATCTCCCATGAACAAATAGTTGGTATTGGGCGAATCACCACCAATTGAGAACAATTCCATCAGATCTTGAAATTGACCCTAGAACGATCACTAGCTTAGAGAAGAATAATAACGCAACGATATGTTTATTACGTGACATTCCCCACAAATGGTTACTGGACAATGTACTTCTTGTACACTGGATTCTTTGGAAAGGATATCTTTAGCTCGATCACAAAGAAGTTTGACATGACTCTCTTGTAATTGTTTACACTCTTTTAGTTGCTCAATCCATGAATCCAGTTCGTTTGATGAAACATTTGTCTTTTCCGTCATTCTCTGTCGATGAAGTTAACTTGAAAGGTGCAGGAGAATTTTCGTTGGTGAATATCAGTCGTAAGAATAACTATCAAAATGAATAGCTCCATGAAGAAAACGGTTATATATATAACTGGAAGAGAGTATTCACGATTACCTGGTTGACTTTGACTCATGATAAATATAAAAAAAGAAATATGCTTTTTTCTTTACCTTTATAAAATAAAGATGAAGATTGTCGTTATTTTTATTTTATAAAGTAAATATAAAGTAATTTTATATTCTGTGCTGAATGCTACAGCACACAAATACATGGAAAGACAAAAATACATAGGATGACAGAGAATTTCAAGCTCTATCAGAATATAAAATTACTTTATATTTACTGTATAAAATAAAGATAAAGAAAATCTTTATATTTATTAAACAATGATAAAATAAATAATAATGGAATTTTTTTCCCATGATAAACCGGAAATTTTATCTTCTTCAGGCAGCTCTTTAAATGCATAGTGTCATAATTGCAAAAAAAGTATCGAACTCAGGCTTTTTGCACAAACCTTTTCATGTTTCATCGTCATTCGTTAACAATATTTCATATTGAGATGTTGCTAGTGATAAGAATGAGCTATGATCAAAATATCCTGGTGTTATATCAACTATTTACCTATTTAGCTATCATCGAAAAAAATCCTTCTTTATTCTTTATTTTATCTTTATTTTTTAAAATAAAGATTTTCGTTATCTTTATTATAACGTAAAATAAAAATAAAGTAACACCCCTATTCTTAAGAGATAAAACCAAATTCGAAGGTTTTGAGAAATAAATTGCAAATTCTTGATTTTCCCGTTAACAGACAGCTATTTTGCGAAAGTAACAACTTTTTATAAAGTTTGATCGAAGATTTTCGGATCGGGAAATTTTTGATGATATCAATTGGGAAGGAGATTGAGCGATTATTGATTGGAAAGAAGACAGCTTTGATCCTCAACTCCAGTATACCAGCATTCAATTGGATTTATTTGAATAGTTTAACGGATATGAACATTAAAATTTTTGGCGTTTGTAAGATGGCGATAAAAAATTCTCTCATTTACTCAAAATTGAAAGGAGAAAAAGTTGGTAAGCCGGTTTATCCATCACTTAAGAAAAAGTCAAGATGTCTGCCTCACATTTTGCTTTTCTATTATAAAGCATTATAATAACAAGAAATAAGCGCCCTAACAAATATGAAAAACAACACTATCAAACTTATTTTTAAAATAGACTATGTTTAATGAATTTTATCTGAAAAGAACAATTGAAAAAGGAAGCTATCCACGATGATGACCTAGTAACATTAAAACTTCCCTTAAAAAAAAACGGATTTGTCGCAGTTCGCCAATTCAACTTTCGCCAACGTTCGCCAGTAGACATTCGCCAATCGGCTAATCGGCGACTGTCGCGGGAACATTCGCCAAATATGGCGAATGTCTGTTGGCGAAAGTTGAATTGGCGAAACGCGACTTTACCACTCACAAATGTTTAAATGTTTAATACCACCGATGCAGATGGTAACTGTTTATTCTTACTATTATTATCAATTTTCTGTTTTTTCATTTTGGTATTATCAACTTCCTGTAAATCGTCATTTGTTGATTTAATAGCCGAAGCGGCCATAGAACGAGTTACACGAGTACTATAAACAATTTTAGCTGCACACTCCAATGAATACTGAGGACAGGTACTGGCGACTGTCGCCGAGACATTCGCCATAATTATAGCAAATGTCGTAGGGGTGCTGGCGAATGTCCACACGACATTCGCCGGTCGCCAATATGGTGAATGTCTATTGGCGAAAGTTGAATTGGCGAAACGCGATTTTACCAAAAAAACCTTTATTTATTCCTATAGTAATAAAAACAATAAAAATAAAATAAGTACTAATAGTAATGTGTTTTATAACTATAATACTATGAGATTCTAAAACAGATAATAAACCAACTAACCAAAACATTAAAGAAGAAATAACCTTATGATAAAACATCATAAAAATTCCACCTTTAACCCCTAAATCAAAACCTAATATTATAACAAAATAAACTAAAGTTATATGAGCGAGTGAAGAATATGCTGCTATAATTTTTATATCCCTAACCACTAAAATAACTAACGTTCTTACTAAAACACCTAAAGATAACCAACTTATAAAAAACATGTAATTAACATATTTAACTACATATAAAGCCTACCTATTTTTAATAATACTCTAGCTAAAATAATAAAACCTATAGTAGAAGCTTCGACATGAGCGACAGGTAATCAGTAATGAAAATCAAACACAGGAAACTTAATAATGAAAGAAAAAACTAAAAACCTTAATAATAAAATATCTAGATTTACTCAACTTATAATAAAAAATGAATTATCAACCTTAATATGATAATCAATATGATAATCAAGCTTTATTAACATAAACAAACTAATACTAGAAAACAAAAAACAATAAAATAACATTAAATAACCAACTATCAAACGTTCTAAATTATATCCTAATAATAAAATAGAAAATATAATTAAAGTAAATAAAAGTTTAAATATGAAATAAAAAACTAATATATTATTTACCATTAAAATATCAATTAAGCTAATAAAAAGAACTAATACACTAAACCAATTATTTATATAATCATAAACAATAAAAAGTAACAACAACAAAACAAGATAAACTAAAAATCAAGATTCCACTTCTAACTTAAACTTAATTGAATACTCTTCATAAAAATACAAATAATTTAAAGACATATAAACGATTAATAAAGCTAAAACAAAAGAATAATTAAAATAAAATAGACTTATTAAAACCATAAAAATTATAATAATATAAAAGAACTTTTCTTAACTAAATTAAAATTAAAAGTAATATAAATTACAAATAACAAAACACCAACAACAGATTCACACACTGCAAAGACTAATCTTAAACAAAAATATAAAAATCTTAATTCGAATATTATTAATATCCCACAAACTAACAAAATAAAAGAAACTCTGAAAACTTCTAATAAAATTAACAACTTTATAGGCTCAGCTCAAAAATAAACCCATAAAATAAAAGAGAATCAAAAGACTAACAATAATAACACAAGTTAATAAAAATAGTTATCTTCAAAATAACAATATTTAACTAATAAAGAATAAGAATAAAGTATAAAACACTTATAATCTTACCAAATATATCATAAGGTCACTCAACCATACCACCACGTAATCAAGTTAACATTAAAAATACAACAAAAAATAAAACACAAATAAATAAACTGAAACTATCATTAAATTTAAATTCCGTATTTTTTCTAAAAGGAATTAACATTAGAATTACAATACTTATAACCAAATCCACAAGACCCCTAACTTATTAGGCACACTTCGTAAAATACAATAAGGAAATAAAGAATATTACTCAGATTTAATATGCTCAGGAGTTTTTAAAGAATTTACAAATAAAAATGTTATGCCACGCACTAGAGTTGTAACATAACGGAGAAGATCATACTTAAGGTTATTGCCCAAGCATATAGTCTAAGTTATTGCGCAAGAATATATTCAAGATTATGGGGGTATTGCTAAAAGACGCGAACACCCACGAACACCCCCAAATTAAAATCTGAGTATTGACGACTATTGATTGACGAGCTCTATCGATAGAGCTCGTCTAGCTGAGTATAGTAATCCCTAACGAACACCCAAAAATTTTTTTATAGTTTCACTTTTTAAGCATACATTTTGAATGAACACCCACGAACATCCACGAACACCTACGAACTCCCAAAGAACACCCATGAACACAAAGAAGAAAGGGTAAGAACACCTAAAAAAGTGTACCAAATTCATCTCCAGGTTATTCTGGCCTGAGGATGTGGTGTGGGTGTGGTGGTGAGGGTGAGATACTGGTAGGCTCACCCACACCACACCCTCAGG